CTTCTAGTAACAAGTGCCTTACTAGTAGTAACAAGAAGCTAGTAGAACAGAACTGACACGTCTCAATGAACGTGTTTTTTCCAACGTCCGCGACCACGGTGAGCGCTTGTGGGTCTTTGTGGATCTTTGATTGTGGTTGTTGTTGTCGTTGTCGTTGTCGTCGTCGTCGTCGTCGTCGTGGTCGTGGTCGTGGTCGTGGTCGTGGTCGTGGTCGTGGTCGTTGTCGTTGTCGTTGTGGTTGTGGTTGTGGTTGTTGTTGTTGTTGTTGTTGTTGTTTCTTTTGTTGTTTCTTTGCACCATGCTGCATGTTCTAGAGATTTTGTAGAAGCCCCGCGTTGCATGACTATAAAATGCCTTGTCCAAGGCCTCCTGTGAGTTTTTTACGGTGATTTTATTTCCTTCAATGTTACATCCTTCACGTATTCAATCCCCAACTATCAGACAGGGGTAATCCCTTCCGAAACAGACTAGAATGCTGTTTCCATTTCCTTTGAGAGCAGCCCCCTTTTTCTTTCGGGGTGGGTGGGCGAAACCAAACATCAAAAGAGCCCTGCGGTGTCCGTCGGAAGATCCACCTGTCCGTCTGAGACAGCGGTCTCTTTCCTTTGGTTCCGACCACCTGGGCCCCTTTGGGCCGCCGCGACGCGGGCGGTGCCGCCGCGGTCCGCCGCCCAGATCATCGGGCCGAACATGAACCGCGACGAGCTGGCGAACGTGTGCGGTCGCGCAGTCTCCGCGCGCGTGCGCGGAGCAGCTCTGTGGGAGCCGCTGGAAGGAGGTGATTGATCGATGGCGACGATGGTGATTTTTTCCTCGGTCGAAGTGGCCTGAGCTCAAAGCCGACCTGCGGATATTTGTACTTGAGATTTCACATTTCTTCGTGGAGTGTCAGAGTGGCAGGCTGTCCTGAATCTCTTTTCTCAGATGTCTGTCTCCCCCTTTGCCAAACACATTGGGTTTAACATGTGCGTTTCAAAACGCAGATGTTCCTCCCCGGGGTTCAGCTACCCCCACCCTTTTAGTCACCACCTCTCGCACCTCGCCTTTCGCCGCCTCAAGGCTGGTGCTTCTAGTTTTCTTGGCTCACAGTCGGGATGCTGAGATGCCCAAACTTTCGACCGTCTCCGACCATGTGGTGACCCCAAAAGAAAAGGAAGGATGTCCATCCGAAGCGCTCCCAGATTTGGATTCTCCGCCTGTTTCATCTCCCAAGACTCTCGACGACAACGGCGTCGAAACTCGTCGGTTCGAGGATCCACTCGAGTTCGAGTGCCGTCGAGGAGTGACCCAACGAATCCGACTCGATCTATGATGCTTTGAATCTGGAAGATTTTGAACGTTCACCAATTAGTAACAAGTGCATTACTACTATAAGTAGCAAAAAGCTACTACTAGCGATGCACTTGTTGCTACTAGCGTTCGCCAAGAGTTCCATGATCGAAAAAGGAATACAACACGGCCGACTGTGAGGCCACGTGCACGACGAGACCTGCCAGTTGAAAGTGTGAAGCCCAGTGGCGAGGGACGAGCAGACAGAAGTTTCGGGAAAGGAGGGCTCCTTCAAGCGGCAACATGAGCCAAGCATGTCCACTGTTGGGGGCCCTTTTGGATGCTGTAAGCTGGGAGCCCAGCAGCTGGCCCAGCAGTTACCAACAGGCCATCGATCATTTACACATGGAGGCTACACTTGCATTAGATCTCTTCCAGCGCTCAATGTCTTTGGAACAGGGTGGTCTGAAGACTGATTACTGGCCATTCCATGTTCATGGAATTCATGCGGAGCCACATCTTCTTTGACAAACATGTGCTATATAGAATTAGAATTAAGTGAATAAGCTACTAGTAACAAGTTCATCGCTACTAGTAACAAGTGCCTTACTAGTAGTAACAAGGACGCTAGTAGAAACAATAAGTAGATGATATAGACGTGCCTCGCGAGTCTCAGGTGTGGCACCGGTACTTGTTCAAAGGCGGGTCCTAGCGCGGTCTGTTTCGCTGGGCGAAAAAAGGGAGCGAATGGCTGGTGTTGGGATGTTCTTTTGTATTCAAAGGACAAAAAGGAGAAAGGAAACGGATCCTTCTGTTCATACGTTGCCACCTTCCCAACCGCATCTCGTTTGGAGCTGGCGGTTTTTGTCCACCGCAGATATGAGGGATGACCCTAAGACACCGGCCAAGGGGAGGAGGAGGATGCCCAAAAACCGGGAAAGAGTGGGGTCCCCGGTGCCGGGGTTTTCCATTGGACCGAAGACACCGGTCACTCTCCTGTCACTCTGCTGGCCTTGGGGCGACTGCAGGCTATTGCAACCTGCCCACCTTGAGCAAGGCGGGTACAATGGGATGCTGTTGGAGTCTGAACAGAAAAGCTGTAGAGTCTGGAATAACATCACCCACCTTTTTGGAGTAAACCTGGAACCTGTTGAACGCATGATGTTCTCCTGTTGGTTTGTTGGTTTTGTTTGATCTTTCTATACTCTCTAATGCAGGTTGACCATCATATGAAACAGGTGGTCGTCTGCCGCCCGTGGGTCGGCAGACTTTAGCCCAGACTCGTGGAGTTGATGACTTCCAAGTCGCAGATGAAGTCTGGCATAACTTTCCAAAGAAGTCTGCTTGGCTGGGGATGGCTTGGTCGTTTTTGGGACGAGGCCAGATTCTTTGGGGTTCTATTCTTTGGCAGAATTCACACCTCCCCAGGGTCTTTTTGCAGATCTAATCCGGGAAATCTTGCAGTTTCAACACAGAAAGGCTTGGATTGTTTGGTCGCTTGGTCCGTTTCACAAACCCTGGACCACTCCTCCGCCTGGACCGAGGCTACGCTGGAGTTGATGAAGAGGTGCGGTGACCGGTAAAGGACCGAAGAGAACACGCAGTCCTTGGCGCAGTAGGTGGACGATGAATCCGGTGCCGCGGTGGGGTGGCACCAAAAGAACCGGTTCTTTTGCCGAAGCTGCTTGGACGAGCGCCTGGATGCTCCGGTTTGGTGTGCTTCCAGGCGTGATTACAAGCTCAGAGTGGAGGATTACGACTTGGAAGTGGCGCTTCAGTGCTTCAAGAAGGCGATACCTCGACGATTGCGACGACTAGAGTCACTGAAGCGAAGGGAAGCTGGTCCTTCGGGTTCAGGGACCTGCCTTCATCCTACAGTGTAGAGGGCCATTGCGTTTTCTACATGCTCCTTTTTTGTGTTTAGTCCCTCACTTCAGGGTCTCAGTGGTGAAGAGCATAGCGGAAGAAGGAACCGGCTCTTTTGGGCGAAACCCGCGGACGATGTGAGTAGGAAAGATGACGAAACGAACCCGCTCTTTCCTGAAATTTGTCGTTTGCAGTTTCTCAATTCTTTACCCCAACGAAGATGACCGGCCCCCTCCGACGAATTAAGACCCCAAAACCATCCAAAACCACTGGTCAAGGGTAGAGTTTCAGGGTTCATCTTCAGTGGAACATCCAAACACAAAACGATCCTCCTAGTCGCAGAGCCGACGCTGTTTCGGTCGTCGCTTTCGATCTTTTTCGGCGTTCGGGACGGCCATGTCCAGGTGGTCCGCTGGCAGAAGGAGGCTGGGTGGTCGGTGGGTCTTCACGAAGGAATCGTTGGCACTTTGCGGCTTGAATTCAGACACTGCAAGCACACACAAGGAGTCTACTTACATCTACTTACTGTGCAGGTGAGGTCTTGTTCATAAAAAAGGCCTTGCTTTCTTCGTTGCGCGAAGCCTTCTTTGAACCAGACACCCCTGTGGGGAGGGGTCGCACACTGGGTCCTCTAGAGAGGTCTTTGTATTTTGACGGAAAAGATACAGTACCCTGATTCACCAGTGATTCTTGAGGAGATGGACAAGCTGTTTGCGGATTGCTGCGTGTGTTCTCAAACACACGGTATGTGTATTGGAGTCTGGCCAAAGGTCTATAATCAACAATAACACAGATAAAGGGGTTGAAAGTAGCTTATGATGTTGTTTTTCAATTAGATACTTTTAGTTGGGGGCCCCCAGCTGAGCACACCTATTCTGCAGCTGGGCGCTAGGTTTGCGGTAGACTTGCGCTAGTTTTTGACTTAGGACATGTTCAGAAGGTCGTCAGGTTTGAAAAGTAGCTGGCTAAAAAATGCGCTAGCCGCGCGCCAGCACTGCGGTAGATCCGCGCTAGCGAACATTGCCAGAGTCCAGCATGGACCCTTCCAAAGCTGACTTGCGACAAGTCTTTGCTTGAAATTAGGCACAGAGTTCAAGCAGCAACGGCTCAACTTCCTCGGAGAGCAGCTGAAAAGGGTGCAGCGAAGTGACACCTCTACAATATGGTGCCAATACTAGTTTGGTCCATCTTTCCTTCATTAATCATTGACCAGCTGTGTGTGCCAGAAGTACAGAAGATGTAGCGGGCCCCCAAGTGAACACGACATGCAGCCATAGACCAGATCCATATGTGTGTATGTATTTGTGTAAAGAGTTCGGTTTTGACTAGGAGCAAGGATGCTACTAGGGGCTCCTGGCATCGCCACTAGGAGCAAGAAGCTACTAGGGGCTCCTGGCCTTACTACTAGTAACGACAAGCTATTGGAAACAAGAATTCAATGTGTTTCGATTGGTTTGGCCAGCCTTTTTCGAGCGGAGACTTCGATTGGCTGCGGAGCGGACTGAGGCCCCGGTCGAGGTGATCCGGGAGATCTGAGCGGACGGCGCCCACCGGTGATCGGCGCTCCCAACAAAGGGCCGAGATCGGAGGAAATAGGGGGCGACTTGAAGAGTTTTATTCAAACTTTCAACCGGAATTTTCTCCAAGAGGAGAGGATCTTGGAAGAGTTGATGTCGGAAGATGACCACATCCGGTCCAGAACTTTGGTTCGTCCGCCATGTCCGACCTGGCCTTTCTTCTGTGATGTCCACGCGTCAGGGATAGGAAACGAGGGTTTTGGAGTTGCAAACATGTGCTCTTGACTATAGATAGCTTGGCAGGAAGGCACTTTTTTTGGATGACGCAGTTGCAAGGACAAATCAACCACCAGGTCATGGAGGTAGAAGATGTAGGCATAAGGCATTACGGCGTGTGGCCAGTTTAGGACAGTGTGCTGTGGGCACGGGATTTCCGAAGACCAGAATGAGGATCACTGTTTCATGACCCTTGTTTCAGATGACAAGTGGTTGCCTACAGGTGCAAGTGACTGGTGTATTTGACGGTCTTTAAGCCTTTTTGCCTAAAACAATATATCTCTGAAAACGATTGGAACAAACATAATATTGTCCAAAAATGCGAAGAACCCGAAATTGCTAACGACCTTTCATCTCACTCCTTCAAACAAATTACTGTCATTGCGGAGTCGCTGCTGGAACTTTCTCCACACGTGTCAACATAGCCTTTGGGCCGCAAAAGGCGAGCAACGAGAACAGAGGTCACTCCAGCGTGCACATGTTGCTGGCGGTGCCTTGCTACCGGCTACGATAATCAACATTATATATACTACATTATATATAAGTATAAGGTCAGTTGCGGCTTCTTGTTTAGTAGTAGTAGTAGTAGTAGTAGTAGTAGTAGTAGTAGTAGTAGTA